TGTGGGAGCGCCATCACTTGAGACTTTCAAGAAGAGATTGGACTGCCATTTGTCAGAAATGGTGTAGGGTCTCCCGCTTGGGCAGGGGGTTGGACTAGATGACTTAACAAGGTCCCTTCCAACTCAGATTATCTGTTACCTGTCTTTTGGTTGCTTTGCTGCCTGGTTTATAAGAGTAAAAGTCTACTCTACAACTTCATGGTGTGTGTGTGTGTATGTGTGTGTGACTCTTTTCAGAATGGGGGTTGAACTAGAAGACCTTTCAGCTCTATAATTCAAGTTTCCTGCAGTTCCACCAGCCCTCTCTTGCCAAGGTGTGTGGAAATATCTTATTAACGTCACACTTAATTCCCATTTTTTTTCTGCTGAAGATTGAAGCATTTGCTAAGGAAATACAAATTTAGGGAGCATTGGATAATTCTGGAAGCTGACTTTATCAGGATAGATCAATAAATTCAGCCTGGCATCTCATTTTCCAAGGGCTGTGTCCTGGTATTATATTTGTTAGCATAGGTGCAGTGTTGACAATATTAAATTGTTAATATATCAAGTGCCTGTCATTATATTTCCCAAATAGTTTTCTCACTTTCTTTTTAGCTGCAAAGAAGAAGAAATCTCTTCGAAGTGACATCTCTGTTAAAAAGGCAGGGATGGCTTTTTTCATTAAAAAAAAAATCTATTACACCAGTCAAAGGTTACAGGGTTTTCTGATGATATGTAATAAAAAAGAAAGAAAAATCCAATAAAAACAGTGGAATGCACTTTAAAAAAAAAAAGTTGCAGGAAACTAGAAAAACCCTGAGTTTTTTTTAAAAAAGGAAGAAATATTTGATCAGTCTTTCATAAAAGATGAATCATGCCTTAAATGTTTTTTTTTTCCTGCAGGAACGGTGAATGGTCCCAGCCAGCCAAGATGCTGGGGTTGCCCACAGACCCTAATTTTATCTTTCAATCTGGTAGTTCAATCCTGAAGGAGCAAGAGAATCTCCATTGCACCCATTTCATTGATTTAAATATTGGTAGACTGAGGCACAATGAGATTGGTATCCGTTGTCTTGATTTTTATCAGAATTGATTCCAGGGGGGGCCTTTTGCAGTGGGGTTTTTTTTGGGGGGGGGGCAGATTTTTCAGATTTTAACTCTAGATCCACTGCTTTGGACTGTGTGTGTTGTATTCCACTAGGAGTTCCTCTGTTTCCCCCATCCTGGAAATTGTCAAAATTAATCACGAATCTTCCGCCTACCCTTCCCATCCTCCTTGCTCTTCATTGCAAAGTATGATAATTAGACATCAGAAAAGCTACATAAAGTTTAATGCGGCAGTGCAGTATGATGTTAAATTATCTCAGACTGCATCCATTAATTAAAGAAAAGTTCTACCAGAAATGGAGTCGTCCCCCCCGCTCCTAATCTTTAAAAAGTGTATTGCTCTGTTCCAAACGGACTCTCCAGGAATAGAAAAAGGAAAGCTGATGAATAGAATTGCGATTATTAGCGGCTAGAACAGCCTTTAACCTGGATAACGATCTGAGTTTGATGTTGGGGTGGCTGAGCCACCCAGATAGAAGTGAGGCCAGGGAGAGAAGGGAAGGTGCCCTGAGCACAGTGGGTGGTAGTTGGATGGCTAGTTCATGGTTCAAGGCCTCCGTCACAGGTGTGGGTGCAGCTCAAAGGTGAGGGGTCTTTGACAGTTCACCTGGATAAGATAAAGATGTTGACTTACTGTGATTTGATGAGAGAATGTGTCAAGTCCAAAATTGACACATGAGTAGCCATTTTATTTAGCCTTATTATTATATATTATTATATATTCCTTTTCTTTCTTTCGTTCTTTCTCTATGTGGGGTAATTCCGGGTTGTGTCAGATCTGGAATTACAACAGACTTTGCCAATTGGACGCTTTCCTAAATAAAAGAAATCGTTTTGGAAGATGGACTTTGCTTTTTTTCCTTTTTAAATGGATTTCATCACTTGGAAACCTGGCAGAATGGTGGTGACTAGGCCAGAAAGCAAAGGGTGGTGAGGTTTGCAGCACCATGGACAGTCACTCCAAAGAAGCTCTAGTTGGGTTGGGAACCAGAGAGGAAGGGAAGCCTTCCCAAGCCATGGCTTGTTGGGTTTGTGCAACACTATAAGTTGTAAACCAAGGTTTCCATAACATAGCACAATGTCTGGATTCACAGAGTCGGCTCAACCAAGACTGAAGAAAACCAATTCATGCTGGATGAATTGTGTGACGTCCTACCCTCCACTTTCTGTTTTTGAAAACGTGAAGGAGCGAACGTCTTCTGTAGACCCCTTTCCTTCATTTCCCCTTACGTGTCTTCTCCACTGTTGTGTAAGTGCTGGGCGTAATCCATGTCCCTAGGAGATTTGGAATGCTAAGTTACGACATCTCAGGTCCTTGGGAAGAACTCAATGAGTATCAAGCCAATAACAGCTAAAGAACTGGCTGTGTATATAATAATAAATCATCATCATTACCTCGATGGAAGAAACAGCACAAAGTTTAAAGTTCCAAAAGAAGAGAATATTGTAGCCCAGGGTGGAACTGTGGTGTCCTTGAAGCTCTCTAAGCTTAGTGGTTGACTTGTAGACATTTCAATATCCAACTACGTAACGTCATCAGTGTGAGGGAGTGTGGGGTTTCCTCCCTTTTTATATGCAGTCACTTAACCTGCTGATGTGGGTAGAAGCACGGTTTTCTTTTTGGTGGTTTCTTCGTTTGGTTTTCTTCTTGATTGTTTGTCTGGTGTTAATCCCCGCTTATTTGGGTACCGGTTGCTGGATATTTGTTTTTATAGGAGTTTAGCCAGCCTGATAATTTGGAATCGAACAGAAATATGAGTTTTCAGAAGTGCTGACTGATGACAATGTTATCTGGTCAGGTAATGAAACCTCTGCTGAGAATAACCAAGCTCCGAGAGCACCAAGGACTCCACAACCTTTCAAGTGCCCGATGCATAATCAACTTTATTTTAATGTGCGATGTGCTTCGCTTTAATGACAACCTTCACTGAAAGGTGCTGTGAACACCAGGCACTGGGCTTTTAATCTTGCTAAGTGGCTTAATTTTCAGCTCTGTCTTCCTGCAGGGACTTCCACAATAGAAACAATCTGTGATTCAGTTTGGATCTAACGTGAGCTGGGAACAACACGACGGGGAAGAATCCAAACAAGCTTCCATTTTTCATGGGAATCATTTTTAAGGGCTCCCCTCCTCCCCTTTTCTGTCTACCCTTCCGCTGAAAGCCGCTCTGCCAGGAAAGGTGAGCGACCTGCCAACTGCCAAAGTGCTTGTTAAGTTTCCATTCCTTTATTAAGGCTGCCCTGGAGGTTTGGAAGCCAAAGATGGTGCGGGACTGTTTAGCATTGAAAGAAAATCTAATGCCTCTTGCCTGTCACAATCCTCCACACACACAACCCCCACCCCCGTCCCATTTTCCCCCTTTTGCTGTGCTAATTCACAGGCTGGTGGGATTGGGGGGGGCAGGGGGGGGGCAGACATTCTTTGATCACCTGAGCAAAGGGCTTTGGGTGCTGGGGACCAATTAGTGGGAAATGGCCAAGGCCTGCAGGCAGCTTCAGAGAGAGAAAGGGGATCCAGGCACTTTGGCACTTGACAGCATTGCAGAATAGCAGAGTTGGAAGGGATCTGGGAGGTCTTCCCAGTCCAGGGGTCGCTAACCTTTTGGACCTCAGGGACCACCAAACTCATAATTTTAAATCCCGCCGACCAGAGACCCCTGGGAAAATCCCCCCAAAAAGTCTGGAGGAAAATCCCCCACCCCATTTTCCAACCGATTGATCGTTCTTTATTTGGAATCTCCAGCTCCGTTCTCAGGGGTGGGGAGAGAGAGAGAGAGACTTTTGGCTTCATGCAAGGAAAGCAGCAGAAGCAGCAGAAGTCTTTCTTTCTCTCCCCCAAACTCCGCCAGAAATGGCTCTTTGTGAGACTTGTCATGTCAACACATTTGGGGGAGAGAAAGAAAGACTCTTGCTGCTTTCCTTGCGTTCAGCCAAAAGCAGAAGAAGAAAGAAGCGGAAAGAAGCAGCCTGGTGGCCAGGCGAGGCATGTGGGGGGAGAGGGGCAAGTTTCCCCCCTCCACCCTTTCCCCCCTCCCCTCACTACCTCGTGTTGTTCACAATGCAAGTGACGCAAGCCTTGTGTTCCCGTGGGCCATGTGGGCAGTGCAGCCTTGTGTTCCCGCGCAGCCTGGATTAATTGCTTTGGGGGTGACATTTCTCTGCGGACCACCAAAATTTTCTTGTGGACTACCAGTGGTCCCTGGCCCACCGGTTGGCGATCCCTGGACTAGTCCAATCCCCTTCTCAGGCAGGAAACCCTAGGCCAGAGGTCTCCAACCTTGGCAACTTTAAGGCTTGTGGACTTCAATTCCCAGAATTCTCCAGCCAGCTGGCTGGAGAATTCTGGGAGTTGAAGTCCACAAGCCTTAAAGTTGTCAAGGTTGGAGACCTCTGCCCTAGGCCATTCCAGGCAAATGGTTCTCCAGTCTCTTCTTGCAAACCTCCAGTGATGGAGCACCCACATTCCACTGGTTCATTTTTCTCACAGTCAGGAAATTTCTCCTTAGTTCTAGATTGGATCTTTCCTTGAGAAGTTTCCATCCGTTGTTCCCTGTCCTGCCTTCAGGTGCTTGGAGAATAGCTTGACTCCCTTTTCTTTGGGGCAGCTCTTCAAATATTAGAACACTGCCACCATATTTCTCTTAGTCCCTTCTTTGAAGAGACATACCCAGTTCCTGCAAACATTCAGCATATGTTTTAGCCTCTAGGTCCCCAATCATTGTTGTACACTTTTTCTAGACAACATCTTTTTTTTTTTTGTATTGCGATGTCCAAAACAGGACACAGTCCTTTTTCTCCTGAATTTCTCCGGCTTTTTAATATCTTTCTCCCAGAAAATCCTTAACAAGATTGTGGTTGTGATTGTCTTGCTTGCTGACTCACTACCCACCTCCTCTCTCCCATTTTTCTAGAAGCCTTTGAAATGGTCGTGCACCACGCCAGGAACTACACCAACTCCATGTTCAGGAACTACTACCGCCACGTGGCTGCCAGGACTTCTAAACTGGTGGGGGAATTCTTCACCGACATCTCCCTCTACATCTTGGGCTCAGAGATCAACGTCAACGACATGGTCAACGAGCTCTTTGATGGCTTGTTCCCCTTGATCTACCCCCACCTGATCCATCCGGGGGCCCCCCCTGACCCTCCTGTGGAGACCCTGGAGTGCCTGCGGCTAGCCCGGCGAGACTTGAAGGCGTTTGGCCCCTTCCCCAAAGTCATGATGACCCAGGTGGCCAAGTCCCTGCAAGTCACCCGCCTCTTCCTCCAGGCGCTCAACCTCGGCATCGAAGTGGTGAACACCACCGACCACTTGAGGTTCAGCAAGGAGTGTGGGCGGGCGCTGCTGAAGATGTGGTACTGCCCGCAGTGCCAGGATCTGCTCCTGGCCAAGCCGTGCGCGGGGTTCTGCCGCGGGATGTTGCAAGGGTGCCTGGCCAGCGTGGTGGAAATCGACGGTCCCTGGCGGGAATATCTCCGCTCCCTGGAAGGGATGGTGAAGGGCATGAAGGGCCCCTACGACATAGAACATGTGCTCCTCAACCTCTTCTCTTTGGCTCAGGACTCCATTGGTCACATGCAGAAGAACGCTGGGAAGTTGGTCCCGACCGTAAGTTCTTCTTTTACTAGGGGCATTTGTTAGTCCGTGAGGTACCGAAGTTACAGGATGCATCTGTCTATCTGTCTGTCTGTGTGTCTCTCTATCTCATATCTCTGTACCAATATCTACATCTTTCTCTCTCTCTCTCTCATATCTATCTATCTCATATCTCTGTATCTGTATCTGTATATCTATCTATCTATCTATCTATCATTGTATATATCTACATCTTTCTCTTCTATCTATCTATCTCTCTATCTCTCTATCTATCTATCTATCTATCATCTATCTCATTGTATATATCTACATCTTTCTCATCTATCTCTCTATCTATCTCTCTATCTCTCTATCTCTCTATCTCTCTATCTATCTATCTATCTATCTATCTATCTATCTATCTATCTATCTATCTATCTCATATCTCTGTATCTATATCTACATATCTCTCTCTTCTACCTACCTACCTACCTCTCTCCCTCCCTCTCTCTCTCTCTCTCTCCATCCATCTATCTCATATCTCATATCTCTGTATCTGTATCTACACCTCTCTCTCTCTCTCTCTCTCTCTCTCTCTCTCTCTCTCTCACACATCTATCTATCTATCTATCCATCTATCTATCAATCTGTCTGTCTGTCTGTCTGTCTGTCTGTCTGTCTGTCTGTCTGTCTACACAGCGCTGCTGGGTGGGGAAGTCTGGGACTGGAAGTCCACGCATCTTAAAAGGGATATTGTTTAGCTTGCAACTCTGGTGGTCTTTCATCCTAGTGTCAACCAGCTTTCTGGAGATCTGCTCAGGTTCTCAATATAGCTTTGCTAAGAAACAGGACAAAGAAACAAAACAAAAAAAATACATGTAAGCTCTTGACTTACAACTGCAATCAGGACTGGAACTTCTGTTGTTAAACAAACTGGTTATTAAGTGAGTTGCCCCAATTTTACGGCCTTTTTCGCTACAGTCATTAAAGCGACTCCAACTTCTCCCCTTGGCTTTGCTTGTCAGAAGCCCCCTCCCTTTCCTCCCCCAGCAAGTTTGCAAATGGTGACAAACACACACACAGACACCGTGACCCCCCCCCCATGCTGGCTGGGGAATGCTGGGGGTTGCAATCCACCTGGCTTAAAGTTTGGAAACGCTACTGTAACCTGAATGAAGCCATGAAGGGGGTTGATGGAGGATTTCTCCAGCTCCCTAATTGCAAGGCATTAGCTGCTGCTTTTTGGGGGGGGGGGGGGGGGGGGGGGGGGGGGGGGGAAGGCAGGTGATTTTAAGCAAATGGCTTTTCTCTTCTGGGCGTTAATAACTCGTGAACAATTTACTGGTACATTAAAGGTAAACAAAGATTCAAATGAATAACCAGGGGAGGCTCTTGATTAGGACACCGCCGGTAAAGGAAAGCATCAGGTGCTTCTCCATTGTTCCTGGCAACACAAGGTGTTGCAAAAACCCGCAAGGAAGAAATGCAACTTCCCGCAAGCCCGTAAAGGCGAGTTAGGAAGGCAGAGCCAACTCCCTTTCCGGAAGAAGCTCAGATCTATTTCGGTCTAAATGGCTCCCAGGCAAAAGTCGCTTGCGGTGGGAAGCCTAATAAATAATAATTGCATACGATGAAATCAATTCAGTTTGTACAGGAAGAGAAGCAAACCTGGGTTATTAGCACATTTCTCTATTAACCTCCTGGGGGAGACGAAGGCAGGGAGGTGCCAGGGGCTTAACTCACACCCGTGTCATCCTTGCAGGAATAACGCCAATTGTATCGTGTGTAAAAACGTGTTTTGGGGTGCATTCACTCATTGTGAGTGTGAACCTGGGCACAGACCCAAGACTGGTTGGGGGTGGAAACACCCAAATGGATAAAAAGCTGTTTCCAGGTGTTATTATGCCTTATTTTTGTCCTCTTGCGTCGTGTCCGGGAGCATTCTCCCGTCGTTATGCTTCCGATCTGTAATCGTTTTTATACTTTTGTTCTCTCTCAGGCTCAGCTGTTTTGGGCAAAGGTGTGGCAAGGGAAGAAGGTTGGGCGTAGCTGGCTGCCTCGGGTTCAGTGGCCCTTTTAAATCTATGCTTCTCGGAGCACACAGCATGATTTAAAGGAAGGAGGGGCAGAACCTGGAGGTGGAGTCAAAAGAGGAATCAACCTAGAATCTCTACGTAGCCACAAACTGACCAAGTCCAACCTCTCTTGGATTCCGCTGTGCCTTACCTAACGCCAAGAGAGTGCCAACTAGTTAGTCTAGATTCCTGCGCATAGGTGTGTTTAGTAGTAAATCAATGTATTATTAATTTGTGGTCCTGGTCTTTTGCAGTTGATGCACGATGCCTCTCCAAATTTGGGAAATGCTTGCTGTCATGTCCCCTGGACTGACTGAGGGAGAGGAGGAACAGCCGACAGGGAGTGGAAGTGGGGCTCCGGAGGTTGTGGAGGAGGCTGGGGAAGGGCAGAGGCCGGCTGGGCAGTCAGAGGAGGACCCAGGCCCACCCCCTCTCCATCCTAGGGCACGCAGGGAGGAGAGGATAAGGGAGAGAGGTTGTCTACTCAGGAGGAGAGGGCCTTCATCCTCTTCATGGGCTGCAGCTGTGACAACTGAATAAGAGTTTGGACCTGCGTACTGGCAAACGCTGGAAACAAATCATGGCAATATCTCTAGTTTATGATTCCTCTCTGAGTTAGGCGTCCTTCCCAGTGTGTGTTCTGTTATCTGTAGGCATCCTCCAGCCATTATCTTGTCTGGTTTGTATCGTTTTTTACTCTTTCTAATTTAAATGGCATTTCCTCCTTCTTGTAACTGGGAGTTTTTTTTGTCTCCAGTCAAGGATATTTGGAGCTTGGAAGCAAAGTGAAGGAATAAAAGGGGCTTCACCTGTTTTTTTTTTTGTGTTTATTTTATATCCCCACCCTGGGTCATCACACTTGCAGTTAGAAAACAGCTGTTCATTTTCCTGTTTTTTCCCCTTTCTTTTCTGCTTTTCCTTCGATTTTCAGTGTTGTGTTTCCACCCTTTGACTTCAGAATTTTTTGAACCACATTTTTATTGCTTGTATTTACATTTCCGATTTATGGCTACGCTGCCCAGGGAACGTGAATTACTTAGATATATAAAAGCACAATAAAAGAGGCAAATGAAAGCTGCCTTTTTAAGAACGCAGTCCCCATTAGGAGCCATCCTAAAGCCACGAACCGCAGAAAAAGCTTTCCCATTACGGAAAGAGATCTCGTGAAGGGCAATAAAAGTGATTTAGAGAAAAGGTCGTGTCCAATCATAACAATTCTCCGCAATTAGGCATTTCTTCCAGTCTGCAGAACTTACTCACCCACTGCTGATTGGGTTAACCGGGACAGAGAAGCAATTGTTGAGGCTCAGGTACGTCCAGCTATACATGCAGTTCCATTTCTGACCCAATGTCACTGTAACCTCCGCCGTGAGACGGTCTGCATAAAAAGGCTCGTTTCCAGGAAGAATGGAAAGCCGAAGGAGGGCAGCTGCCTTGCCCTCACTCTGGATTTTCTGGAAAGGAAAGGAGAAAGAGAAATGAGACTGTAACCTGCCAGCTTCTAACCCCCGCAGCGCATCTCTTTTCTTCCGGACCTCTGGGAGAAGATTTGCCCAACAGAAAAGAACCTTTTGCCCTGCCAGCGAAATCTTCCAGCCCCTCCTGCTCACTGCCCAGAGTGGATATTTTTCAAGGTGAAAAATTTTCCGCTCCTTTTCAAGTCTCCCCCGAGTCCCTCCGCCTGCCTCCCTTGAACAGACAGGTGACATTTTGCAGAAGACGAAATCGCCTGCAAGCGATGGGAGAACCCGGCAACGTTGAAGGAGAAGCTTTTCAAAAAAACCACTTCTTCAAATTCCTAAAACAGCCTTTGGGAAAAGAAAAAAAGAAAGAAAAGGAAAAGCCAAAACTCACCAGCCCACTTTCTTTGCTTCCCCAATGCAGCTCGTCCTAAGCATTTCTGGGGCCTTAGCAATTTTGAGATGCGTGACCGGGGAATTCTGGGAGTTGAAGTCCACCCACACGGCTTTGGGGAATTCTGGGAGTTGGAAGCCCACATCTCTTTGGAAGTTGCTGAGGTTGAGAAATGCTGCTTTAGAAGACAAAAAAAGAAAAAGGAAAAATTAGGGGGTTAATGGACCCCGAAAGGCGCTTGTGTTGGCTGTTTTAGATTGGCTGAAAATACATTTAGGGGAGATTTAATCTGATCGTGCAGCCTTCGGAGGAGGTTTCAAGAGAAGAGCTGAAAAATGATGCCACGAAAAAAATCATGCATGGCTTTCATATGCTGGAGTTTGGAAGGGGGCACAGGCAGTTCTTGACTTGTGACCATTTAGTGACCGTTCCAAGTTACATTGCTACTGGAAGAAGTGACTCACGACCATTGTTCACACTTAATGACATTGGTAGAAGCATGGTTTTCTTTTTGGTAGTTTCTTAATTTGGTTTTCTACTTGATTGTTTGTCTGGTGTTAATCCACGCTTATCTGGGTACTGGTTGCTGGATAATTGTTTTGGTAACTGTCTTGTATTTACGACTGTTGCAAGGGGCCAGGGTTAAGTGATCCCCTTCGGATAAGCAAAGTCAGTGGGTAAGCCAGATTCACTTAACGACCGTGTTACTAAGTGAGCAACCGCAGCAACGAACCACTGGGAGGGACGGCAGGAGTTGATTTTGGTGCCCACGTCCCCGTTGGCCCTCCAAGGGAAATGCAAGCCAGAGGGAATCTTTTTAACAAGCCAGATCCTTGTCATCTAATGGCTCTCTCATCCGCTGCCTGGCCTGGCTCCAGAGAGGCTCTTGATGGGGGAATGCAAATCTAAACCCTCTGGGAGCCTTTGTAAAGATGCTCCAATCTTTTCGAAAAACACGATTACCTTCTTCCGACTCTTAATTAAACGGCTGGCCATTCTCGTTACACCGAACTGCTGCCTTGTATAAATATGTGCAGTTGCTGTGAAGATGCTAATCGAGAGGAAAGGAAGGAGAAAAAAGAGGCTTAATTAAGCAGCTTGGGCATCCTTGGCCCTCTCCTCCATCATCCTCCACTCAGGTTTTTACGAGAAGCCATTTGTTTGGGGTCTTATTAAAGTCACGGCCGGACAAATTAATGTGCTGTTTCCTGAGAAGGTTGCTCTTGACTCCAGTGACGGGGATCAAAAGCCAAGCAACGGTTGCTAATTGTGGGAGTCACCTTAGAAAAAGCAGATCTCGTGACCTGCTCATCCCTGGATGGCTCTGTGAATTATTATTATTTTATTCTCGCAAAAGACCTCTGCGCATCATGAAGCAATGTGCTAGGAATAAGGCTGCCCATTCTCTGCAGCTGAATGATGGTTACTCCCCAAAATTCTGGCCCCCATTGTCGTCATAAGTAGAGGACACCCTGCACTTCAAGGGGATGCGGTGACTCAGTGGCTAAGATGCTGAGCTTGTCGATCAGAAAGGTTGGCAGTTCGGCGAATCCCTTGCGCCGCATCACGGAGTGAGCTCCCATTACTGGTCCCAGGTTCTGCCAACCTAGCAGCTCAAAAGCATGTTAAAAATGCAAGTAGAAAAACAGGGACCCCTTTGGTGGGAAGGTAACAGCGTTTCATGCACCTTTGATGTTTAGTCATGCTGGCCACATGACCACAGAGACGTCTTCGGACCGCGCTGGCTCTTCTTTGGCTCTGTAGCGGAGATGGTTGGGTCAACGCTGAGGTTCCTACCTTGTGAACCCCCAGACCCCATGGTCAAAGGAGGCCAAACCCATTATGAAGTGCAGCAAATCCTCAAGTCGAGGTGGCACAGGAGACAACTCCAATATTTATTCAAGTGGAAGGGCTTCCCCTTATCAGAGGCGTCATGGTTAAAGAGTAGGAACGTCCAAGCTAATCCCCTTGTAGCAAGGTTCCATGCAGAAAATCCAGTGAAGCCTGGGCGGGATTTGTGAGCATAAGTTTCTATATCAATTTATTTGTGTGTGTGTGTGTGTGTGTGTCATACAGGTCACCTTCAAGAAGTGAGGGGAGCCGAATGTCAACTCATAAAACATTTTCTATACATATTTTATAGTTGTCAACAGAGCTGGAAACGACTAGCACATGTGTGCGAGGGGAATCTTTACCTTTACCTGCACTTCAGCTTTCTTACTATTAATCCATCACACACCCATGCTCTGCCCCACTTCTTGCTGTCATATGTATAGTCTAGGAAATGTGTTTGGGGCCGACACAATCTAGAGATTAAAAATTAGGTACGGTGTCAAGCAGTTGCTTTGCTTTGCAAGCTGCGCCTGAGAAAACACCTTTATTCTAGCAAAGGTGTGTGTTTTTCTTCTTTTTTCTTCTTCCTCAAAAACTCCGTCCAGTTGCCTTTTCAAAAAAAAGTAAATACAAAATACTTTTGTGACAATCATGACTTAGATGACTAAGAATCTTCATAGACCTTTATTCTGGCAGCTTCCACACTTTGGGGTTTATGCTAAAGGCACTTCTGTTTTTTGTTGTTTATTTTGTTAGTGGTGATGTGCCGCAGTCTTTAAAATCAACTCAATAAGTTTCTTTATTTAATAAAGTGTCTGCCTCACTTGACGAGAACTTTTGTAGACTTTCTAAGCTTGGAAACTCCTCTCTCTCTCTCTCTTTCCACCAAATAATAGATTTTTTTTTAAAAAAATCCTAGATCTGATGTGATGGTTGTCACTCAACTTTGCTCTGTATCTGTCACTGGACTCCTTATCATTGTTCAAGGCCTGCTTTCTAAGAAATAGCTGTGAATCAGTGTGATGGAAACAGTTTTCCTTGATGTTCTTTAAAATGTTCGTATTTTGTTGGCTTCTCGCATTTTGCCAGTGAATTATTTAAAGCTCCTGCAATATTGAAGCACCCTCAGGGCATGAAATATGTCTTCTTTGTGAGGTCATGTCAAGAAGGTCTACATTTAAACCAGCATCTTTGTATAATTTTTCTTATTTGTTATTTTTAATGCACCTCACAGATTTATTTAAAAAAAATAACCATGCTGTCGTAACCATGCTGAAAATTACTTTTTAAAAAGCCTTTGTATCTCAGTATGCATTTGGACCCAAGGTTTTCTAGCTTTTTTTTTACAAGTCCACCCTGTGTGATAAAATGACCCTTTATTCCGTCATAAATTTGAAGGACCTTTACATTCTAGATAACTTTTCATGGTGCTGGATACTAAAGGTGCCTTCTTTTGTAAAAGTTCCCTTTTAAGTTATAGCATCATATAAAATTTAGTTCCTTTCAACCAAGTCTTCCCCTTTTGTTCCATCTGTACATTATAACCCACAGCTGGTTTTATCACACACTCTTTCCTTTGTTCTTCCATTTCAAAGTTCAGTAAAAAGATACATATTTTAGCAGTCCTATGCTCTTATTTTCTCTTATCCCTTGGAAACCAAGAGGGCCGCGGAGGCTTTAAAACAGCATTTCAAAACTTTGGGGAGTTTTGATGTGTGGACTTCAACTCCAGGAACGCTGGCTGGGGAATTCTGGGAATTGAAATCCACACATCTTAAATTTACTTAAGTTGAAAATCACGGCTTTAAAAAGAGCGTGCAACAAAAATGTGTGTGGAAACATTGCCTTTATCCCATTTTGCTGGGCCCTGTTCTACCTTTGTTAAAATTGCATTCGTGTTTTCCCATTTCGAAAGAGGAGAAGGCAGAATCCTTCAGAGAAACTGAGTCGCGTGACTACATCCCTCCAAGAATAACAAATGAAGGCTTCTTAATTTTCTTTCCTTTTCTATTGGGCCCGTTTTTGGAAAAAATACATTTCCTTAATCAGTATTCCCCAGAGTGATGCACCTTCCCAAAAGAGGCCAATCCAAGTGAAGAACCTGGCAGATTTAAATCTGTACTAAAAGCCAAGACAAAACATGAACCACAGACTAAACATTAACATATATTAGCATTTTGATTACACCTGTAGAAAGGGGAAATGGGCCCTGGCTAATACTATTAAAATGTTTATGTCCTCCGTCCTTTCGGTTTCAGAAATCTTCAGATTTAAAGATTTCCTTGTGGAAAGAA